ATCCAATAGGAGGGGGACACCTCACTTGTCCCCTGTATTGGTCCCATATTTTGGGTCCTTGTAGCAAAGCTCTTATTCATACTATAAAAAAGCAGAAGGTATTAATTAATTTGCTTTATTTCTACCAATTCCCCAAATCTTACATACATGGCAACAATAACTGTTTGTTTGCCTAAAAAAAGTGGGAAATCAAAGAACATGTCCAATAGAAAAACTTGTATTATGGTTGTTTGGTTGGCTAAAAAAAAGAAGAAAATCAAAAAATAGGAGATGCGATGAGATGAGTTGTCACCATATTATTGGATGATGTGAGTAATTTTTTAAGAAAACTTGTTTTGTGGTTGTTTGGTTGGTTAAAAAAAGGTAATGTATTATAAGAAACATATTTCTTATAATAATTTCTTTCTTGTGTTTGGTTCATTCTTAAAAATAAGAAAACAGATGAGATGGAATGAGTTGTTTGTATATTATTGGATGATGCGACCCATACTTAAGGAAATTAATTTTCTTGTTTTTTTGAGCAAATGGGTGGAAATGAAATGTTAATGAGATGATATGAGTTGTCACCATATTATTGGATGATGTGGGTGATTTTTAAATATGAGATGAGATAAGTTGGATGATGTGACTCATTTCTTATGTTTGGTTTATTTTTAAAAATAAGAAAGGAGAAGAGATGTGATGTGTTGGTGTATAAAAATAATATTTTATTGATAAAAGTGTATAGATTTCCTTTTCTTTGGATGAGTTTTAGGGATGGAAATAGATAAAAATAATATTTTAATTAAAAAAGTACATGGATTTACTTTTCTTGATTTTTAGGAAACAAACAGTTTTTGTTTAGATTCACGCCGCTCAGTATAGTAAATCTAATCTGTGAAACAAAAAAATTATACAAATGTTAAAGTGAGTTAACACTCTATAATTTGTCAAACGTAAAAAAATACATAATAATTTAGCTAACCTCTCTAGAGAGATTAAAACGAGTTAACCCATTAAAATGAGGGGTTTACTAACACTCATAATTAGAAGGATTAAGAGTTAACCATTCTATTTATAAAGAAAATTGTCAAAATCATCATTATTCCCAAACATTAAAACTGATCACAATGACTAAAATATAACTTATTTAATGGACTAATAATTTAATCATTCAGATAATCAAATGGGCTAACTATGTTAATCCTCCTCATTAATCCCTCTTTCTTAACCTTTTGCCAAATAAAACCTATCAAATGTCTGAGGTTCTATTTGGATTTTCCTTTGTAAACCGCGTGATTACTACAGTAATACGGAGTCAGGTGGTCCAGTTGCGCCTAACATCTACATTAACTCCACCCCAAAATAGAGCTTCTAGTGGAAATTAATGAAGGCTGTCAACTCAACTACAATAGCTACTATATGAGACCCTTTTGCTTAAAGAAACACTAATCTATTCCTCTATAATAATGAGAGGATCCAAGATTCACTATTCATACCATAGTAAAATTATAGCGTTGTTACTGTAGCACGGGCAGGAGGATCCACGATTTACTATTCATGCTACGGCAAAAAGTGATGTAGCATCTTAAAGAATATTACTGTAGCATTATTACTGCTGCTCAGACGGGATATTGAAGCATTTAAAAAATGTTAATGTAATACCTAAAAAAAATGTATTTAAATAGTGGAAATAAAAAAATGTAGCCCGTTGAAAGCAAGGTGCACAAGCTGTGTTGACACGTGGAAAGAAACAATTCGTTGGCCCGCAGCTCAATGAACTCCAGCTAGGCAAGTACAGCGCAGGGCCAGTGGAATAAATCGCTTGACGTCGGCTCGTGACATCTGGCTTCTTTTGGCATCTATTAAATTTTAGCGGGGCCCGCTGGCTTTGCCCTCTGCACGTCAAAAAGGCAGTCGCCGAATCCAGAGCGAGGAACGCGTGCAATTTCGCCGACCGAGTCCCCAAAGCTGTACGCAATCTCAGGAGATATCGGCGTTTATTTATAACTATGTACCTTAAACTGACACAAAATATGAGACCGATAAAGGGGACAAGTGAGGTGTGCCCCTCCTATTGGATAATGAGTTGGCCATCATTAATGATGGCCAACTCATTATCCAATAGGAGAGAGACATCTCACTTGTCCCCCTATTGGTCCCATATTTTGGGTCCTTAAAGAATTTTTCTTAAAATTTACTAATAGATTCGTTTAAGGCTACTTTTATTTTCTGAGCAATGGGCCCATCTGTAGTTAGCTTCATCATTCCCTCGGATTAAAGTTTATTTTTTATAACAGTTAAAAATGCTAGAAAAGTACCTGTCGGCCCAAGTAAAGAACTTTCCTATATATGTTTTTTTTCTCCTACTTGGAGTGCAGATCGTACCGTAGTATAGACATAATTTGGGATAGTAGATCGATGTTAGCCCCCCAAATATTTGAAATTGATTTGGGCCCCACAAATTCTATTAGTATGTTGAGATAAGACCCCTAGTTAAAATGAGAAGAATATTCGGTTTGCTTCAACTCTTTCGGTAATTTACTGGTTATACCCTTCTCGCTAAAACACAATCTCATTAATCAATTTAACTTATACATACACGTTAAGTTCTCCAAACCTGTTTAATAAACCTCTAACTCAAAACTATTTTTCACTTCATCTTCTCCAACGTCTCTCCCAGTATAATCTATCCGTTGAAAATTTTAAGCCAAGGCTAAAAAGAGTCGTTAGGGAAGACGTTGGAGAAGATGAAGTGGAAAATGGATTTCGGTTATAGTTTTATTAAATGGATTTGGTGAGTTTAACGGATATAAGTTAAAGTAGTTAATCTGTTTGGGTTTGTGTACCAAGGATATAACTGGCAAATTACCGAAAAAATTAAAGTAAACGGAATATCCCCGCATTTCAACTAGATTTTAATTAGGGGACTTCTATCAACATACTAATAGAATTTGGAGGGCTTGACATCAAATTCAAATATATGATTTCAAAATTTTGAGGGCTAATATCGAAATAACCCAATTTTTTTATCCTTTAGTAAGAGGCTTTAACCTACCGTGTCTAATTTTACAATGCAAGAAAGTTCTTTGCGATCTACCTTCCTTTCCCCCCGCCCTTTACAGCAAAAACTTAGCAAATTTGCTGTTTTCATCTTAAAATATTCGTTTTAAATAACAAATTTGATTGTTACATGCTGAAAACTTTAAATTCTCCAGCTTCCATGATATCATACTAGCACTCCAATGCGCTAGATGCGTGCATGACACAAAAATCTTAAGGTGTTTTTAGTTTATTTTCTTATTTCATTTTCGTTTCTTTCTTGTTTGCAAAGATTAGATGATCTAAGTTGAATTCTTTCAAGAGTTTGGTATTTTTGTTAATTTCTGAAAGTGTGTAAACGTGTTTATTTTGATTTTTAAAGTGCGTGGGCATCTCTGATGCATTTGCAAAAAATTGACACACAAATTAAAAAAATGACTTCTCTTGAATAATAGTGTGTGTATAAATGGAGAAGACCTTGTCAGCTCTTCTCCCTGACAAGTGTATGACATGTGAGCCCTTACTAGTCACATCGATGTGGGGATTCACTTGTCATACACCTGTCAGCTTACGGGGGAGAAGAGCTGGCCAACGTTTCTCCAGTGTCCTCATATATACATATATACATATGTCTATACGTGTATATACATATGTATAAATATATATTATCACCTCTCTCATCACACTCGCAACCTCTTAAATCATGTTGCTAGTTTGGGCATCGCCAAGAAGCCTTTCTTTTTTAGTGTAGACAAGCTAAACTCTTGATAGAAAGGAATCATGAATAAAATGCACCATCTCCTCGCCATAGATGTGCAAGTGAAATCCAATCGGAAATAGCAAAATTGCCTCTTGGCAAGGCTAGCATGAGTACTTACGTATCTTACAGCGCAATACATAATTTTAAGAAAAATTCATCAAGGACCCAAAATATAAGACCAATAAGGGGGACAAGTAAGGTGTCCCCCTCCTATTGGATAACGAGTTGGCTATCATTAATGATGGTCATCTCATTATCCAATCGAAGAAGAACACATCACTTGTTCCCTTGTTGCTCCGATATTTTAAGTCTATACGTAGCAAAGCTCTAATTTTAAAAAGAGAGTGAAATTAAACCCAGCCAATCTGAAGTAAGTGAAGTGATCTACAAGGCTGGCTGGCGTTAAAGTTGGTCTAGGAGTTGGTGCTGGTGGGTGATGGCACGAAACTTTATGTGACCTGGGCGTTGCCCATCATTTTTTTTCTTCTGTGGAGAATAAACTGACAAACGCATTTATGAGTTTATTATCTTTCAGAGAATTAAAAAGGTATTATACCTAGGTTGGTTGGTAAGATAGGGATGAGCATTTTAATTCAGCCCACTCAAAAGGAGTAGTATTTTTTTTTTTTTTTTTGAAGGCACTAATTAGTGGATGTTAGTACCACCACTAATGCGAAAATTAGTGCAGCATAATGTTGAGACATGGTACTATCATTTGTCCACAACAAACCAATGTGAATGGGTGTTAGGAGACCAAATCTTTATCCCCCCACTCTTGCGAGCATATTTAGGAGCCAGGTCCACAAAAGTCTTGAAGTTCTTTGAGAACTTTGCTCGGATCTTTTATTGAAGAAATCCTTGTGAGCCGTTGGATTTTACCCAATGAATTTCATTTAGAGCTGGAGTACGGTCCCTAGCTGATGAACCTATGGATTTTTACCTCTTTTTTTTACGGCAGAAATAGCCGTTAGAAGCTTTATAAAAAGAGGGAGTTCCGAAGACTTTTCAACATGTGAAAAAGCAGGATATTATCTTCTTGTAAATTGGAGAAGAACAATGTTTTCAATTGTGACTGGACAATAGTTTACAAAGACTATAAAATACCCGTCTAGCCAATTCACAATAAATATATCAATGAATTTTCCACGGGCGAAATGGTTTCTCAATTGATTTCCGTGCATTTTCTAATTCAAATACAAAGATTTTCTGTAGAAACAGATAAGCAAAATACAGTTATCACGTACGTCCTCAAATTAAATTAGAGGTTCTCACAACCACATAAACAACGGACAATAACACATAAAAAAACCAAGATTTGTTACATAAAAGCCTTTCCTCATGGAGAGTAAGGGGGGGAATCCCTCGTCACTCTGTTCACTACATTTTGCTGACAAATAGCCAAATCCGACAATGCACATATATAGACACTCATCAGGATAAAAAGGAAAAGTTAAAAAAAAAAAAACCCCTAAATACCCAGAATACATAAGGTCTGCCAAATGCTATCTTAACAAGAAAAGGATTTATACATCAGACTGACCTTCCGAAGCCTTTGTGATGCTGTGCGTGTGGATACAAATCAATCAACAAATATATGGATATAATTACCGTGGTTATATCTACAGATGGAAAGAAGTCTTAGCATCTGAATCATCTACTATGACTTGATGAAACTCCATTATCTTCGGGTAAATGAAAGTGGCTACTGACTCCTAGGCTCTCTGCAAGCCGAAGAATATATGATTGCGTTGATGCAGAGTTTGGAGAAACTGCGTCTGGGAGGCTTGGAAGGCATTCAGGTAGAGACCGGCCATCCTTTTCTGGATAATAGAAGAGGGAAAGCACAGCTCTACAGAAGATAAACCTGATGACAAAACATGAATAAAGAGCATAAGTGAGAACTACGTGCATATGACTAGAGAATAGAGTTGCTGACTAAATAGAAATACAAGGGCTTAAAATGTATTAAGAGCAGAGTGAAAACTATGTGCATATGACTGGAGCATGGATTTGTTGACAGTTAACGTTATGAAACCAGAAGGAAGAAATACGAGGGCTTAAAATGATGTAGGATTATCTGAATGGAAACTCCCTCTCGAATTTATTCAGATCGAGGGACTCAACCGTATCACGGGCTATACTTGGAGGTTTAACTTTAGAGAAGTTACAACCCGTGTCGTGGAAGTCACTTACACCCCCTTAAACTATTTCAAGAACACTTGCAATCTCTGAAGCTCAGGGAAGTTGCGTTTTTAGCCAGCAATAAGAGGACAATTTCGTCTTTGCTTTCAGTATAATCACAGGTAAAAAGCAATTCATCATCATGTGATTCCCATGTGACCTCTAAACCAAAGCAGGAGAAAAAAATTATTGTATGGACTTCAGCAGGTGGAAGAGTTAATAAAATAGTTTGGGGGTGAATATGGCTACACCTCATAATCACGGGGTGTGCCTGCGATTTAACCTTAATTTTATAAGCATATATGAGAAAATATTCACAAGAATGTCTTGGTAGAATTACTTTTTTATTTATGGGGAACAGGTCGTAGCGCAGAAAAAGAAGTCTAGTATGTATAGAAGACATTGCAATATTGAAGGTTTCAATATATTTCCATATTATATTCTGTCAAGTTGATTAATTGTGCATGCAGGTATGAGCGTATATGCATCGATTTTATTCTATATGAAATGCATCATTATCTATCTGAAGCTCCTATAAATAGCCCCACAATTGAGGGTACATAAGTGAACCTCGCTCCGCGGAAATTTCATTCATAGAGGATGATATGCAAATAATTTCTTTTATAGAGTGATGAATAAGAAATGCCACCACGCAAAGCAGGAGTGCAATAAATGTGGAAGGAAACTGGTGTGCTTTTTGGAAGGGATGAATGTCCTTCACTTCTCATGAGAAAGACTTTGCTGGAAACAAAAGCAGCCAACATAATGCAAACAAAAATGGACACATATGGGTTCTCTCCTCACAACAGCTCTCAACACACAAAGGTGAGGGAAAAAAAATAAAACACAATGAACTGCATGTAAAGGTTGATAGCCCTTTCTAAAGCTTCTACAAGTTTGTAATTTGATTTATGTTCTGTTCAGCCAATTTTTGTGGTTAATGCCTCAATGCCAATTTGCTTGCAGTGAGGACACAATTCAGGGTGTCAAGCGGGGAATATTTGATCTAACCCAATTCAATGCAACCTAGAAACAGGTTTAAATTTCATTATCTTGATCAGCTCGGGTCAGTGGCGAAGCCAGGATGTTTGCAAAGCAGGATCCAAACCAAAAGAGGAAAAGAGGTGGAAAGCAAAAGAGAAAATGAGATCTGGTTGAGAATAAATGCTCGAGGCACAAGGAATGCATGCGAATAAGGGCAGAGGGATTGAGGCGGATAAGATGTGACTGGGTCTTTGCTGATAAGGGTGAAGAGAACGCTTGCGAGAAACCCAAATAACACACAATCTAATTACAATCTTTCCGCAACTCACAGGAGGAAAGGAGGGGTTTTGAGAAAGTTTGAGGGATCTTACATTTTATTGCATTGATTTATATCATTAACCAGGTTAGCCTTGGATTTATTTTATTTTATTGGGTGTTTTTGTACATATACCCCTTAGTACATTTGCAAAACTACTCAAATCTCAAATTAAGAAAACTACCCATCAAATCTCAGTATTTGCAAAAATAACCTCAAATCATTAATGTAGGAATAGAATATTCCTTAAATCAACACATTATTAACTTTGATAGGCTAATTTGTAACGAAATGTAAAAATATCAACAGAATAGTCAAGTGTTTATTCACAATATCCAACAAATTTGTTGATTTGTTAATATGAAAGGTATTTCTTTTACAACGTGGATAGTGCAGGGAATAGGTTTGCAAATATTGACATTTAGCGGTTGTTTTGCAAATATGCATAATTTAAAGAATGCGTAAAATAACTTCTTCTTTTTCTGGTTTTGTTTTTTTTGTGGGGA